CGTGTTAAAATCGGTACAACGCAAATGATAAAATCGGCACAAACAGAGCACATAAAAAATAATTATTTTAATGCGCGATTCAAAACTCGCTTGCTGTCAAACCATAGTATTAAAAATATCATAATCTTTTTAAATCACGGGGAAAACGTAATAACTACTAAAACAATAACCAAAATACTTTAATATTTCAGATGAAATTGAAGTAAATAAAGTCCATCAAAATTTTATGTAATTTAAATGAGGGATTTAAAATTAAAATGTCGCAATAGCGTATAAAAAATATCGGTACTTTCAAAACCTTGTAGAAATGTGTAGCAATAATTTCTAAAATAACGATTGAAAAATAATTTGATTTGCGATAAAATCGTTATAAATAAACCATGTCAAAAAATGGTTATCGAAATGAGCGATTCTTTACTCGCGATTCGTAATAATATCGTGCTAAAATATCGAAGTTTTAAAAACCGGGCGAAAATGTGCAGCAATAACTGTTGAAGAAAGGATCTAAAGTCATTTAGATTTTCCATGAAGTTTGCACAAATAAAGCGTTTCATGACTTACAAAAATCGCTATTTCAGAAACTACTTGAAAATGGGTAGCAATAACTACCGAAAAGTCATTGGAATCGGCACATACGAAAAGCGTCAAAAGTGGTAATTAAAATTCGTAAATCGTAACGATGATGTATTAAAAATATTGGGATTTTTAAAACTATGCTGAAATCCGTAGCGTTAACCATCGAAAAACTACATTGATTGAGATTGGGTGCGTCAAAAACTTAAAAGTGTAAATTTAAATTACCGAATTTTTTTTTATTATTTTTCAAAAACAAATATTTAATTTTTTTCTTTCTTCATTTTGTTCAGATTGCTGCCGCGAGCCGCACATCGAGGGTTGGCGGGCCGCATTTGGCCCGCGGGCCGCAGGTTGAGCACCCCTAAACTAACATATATAAATTATTCAAAGTAAATACATTATAATAATGGTTTCAACAATATTTAACTATAAAACATTATTTCTCAATATTTTAATTGTTTTTACAAATGCCGGACAGATGACCGAGTGGTTAGTGTGCCTGACTGCGAAGCCAATGGCTGCGAGCTCGAATCCCACTCTGGGCATGGATGTTTCTCTCTCTGTGTGTTGTTTTCTGATGTGTGAATGTATGAATGTGGCCCACCCTGTGAACGGGTATTTGTGGCAGTGTGGCGTGGGTAATGTTGCTCGCTTCTGTGACTTTGGCTCACAGGTGCCCACTGGGTAATGATAAATGAGCAACACTTCCAGCATCTTCTAAGGCGAAAAACGAAAGCTCAGTGCCTGCCGTTATTAGAAAAAAAATTTTACAAATTAATTAGATTAAGGTTTTTAGAACAAACAAAAATTTATTTAAAATAAATTCAAATTTTTATTTCTATCATTTAACAGTATGCTCAATTGACACTTTCATTGGTGGCATAGAAAAGTGTCCTTCTTAACACAATCTGGAAATATCATCCAATTGCTTCAAAGCTGGATTTTCAGATTTTATTCCGTTTTGAATTGCAAAATCTCTTTCAAAATCAGCTTCAGTTATTGGAAGTGTTAGGGCAATAGGAATTAATTTCCTAAATCCAGAATGCATGCCAAAACTCATTTTCGCTTTGCCTACACTTATTGGCAGGTTTTATAGGGGATTATCTTTATTCGGTAGTAAGAAAAACTGACTTTTTATAACAAAAATTTTATGAAGAGTATTTTTTCGCCCAGTGAAATTTTTGAGGAGTAAAACTCAATTCTGATGCACAAAATACATGTCTAGAATTCGATTATTTTTAAACCAATAAATCTTCAGTCGCTTTTAATCATGAAAAAATTAAAACAAAGCCTACATTAATTTAATTTGCTTTTATTTTTGAGAAAATTAAAACAAATTTTGCGTTATTTTATTTTTTTAAAATTTAGCTGTTAGACTTAGAGGTTGGGCAGCTGCAACGAGCAGGGCACATCGACTGTGTCGTGATGTCTCTTCTTCAAGATGACAACCGCGACAAAGAGAATTGGATTCTATTCCCATTATGTAGGTGTCTCCTGAGGATGCAGTGTCCAGTAAGAAGACCAATGATCTTCCTTAAACTATTCTATTACGCTTTAAAAGCTCTTTTTGATGTACACTAGGACAGTTACGATTTAGCTCCGTAGCTTGTCGCTGACCGTCAGCAGCGCGCCCTTGCTCATGGGCAATTTTGCCATAGAGCTTGAATATGGATGCCCTAAATGAGGTGGGAGAAATTTCCAGTGCAGGTTCAGGGGCCCAGAAAATTGCATTAGAGCCAGCCCGTGTCGCTTCATCAGCTAGCTCATTTCCACCGATACCCATATGTCCAGGTACCCAATGCTGGGATAACCTGTTATGAGTGGATAGGTCACAGAGGACCGAAAAGCATTCCCACACTAACAAAGAGGTGAATTTACACCCTGGCAGTGATAGGAGAGCAGCCTGACTGTCATAACAGATGAGGATAGTCGTATTTTTATATCCTTTGTCTAAGCATATCTTGCAGCACAAGATTATGTCATAGACCTCAGCCTGAAAAACAGTGGCATAGTTTCCCGAGGGAAAATGAAGTTTGGTACTGTCATTGGAGCAATAAATTCCTGCTCCTGATTTGGCACCATTTTTTGAACCATCAGTGTACCATAATAGACATTTGCCTTTAAGCCACCCAGGACAATTAAACTATTCATCTCTAGTAGGAAAATGGATCTTGAAAGGCTTGTGAAAAGCATATCTTTGTGACATAAAGTCACTAGGCATTATAAAATAGGGTATATCCATCATTTTTGAAACAAGATGACCCTATGACAAGTGTTTGGAATACTCTTTCGATAGGCCAAGGTACATAAGATGCTTTATGCCGGTCTGAGTTTCAACTTCAATGCGTAAGTTCAATGGAAGAAGCCCAAGTAAGCTCTCTAGAGCAGCTGTAGGAGTGGTCATAAGACAGCCTGACATGGCTACACAGACCATTCTTTGTAGTCTATTAAGATTAGACCTTGCGGAGCTCAATCTAGTCCTCGACCACCAGACGACTGCGCCATAAGTGATGATAGGACTAATAATCATTGAGTATATCCAGTAAACTATTTTGGGGGATAATCCCCAGGTTCTACCAATAGCATTTCTGCAAGACCAGAAAATCTTTCTGGTCTTGCAGAATCTCTCTCTTGCAGAAATTGGGAAAATCTCTTTCCCAATTTAGTTTGGAGTCAAAATAAACCCCGAGAATGGAATTGTCCGTCCCGTATAGAGTGATGCCGTATCCGAAGCTTTACTTTTGCTCATCATGTTGGTTGCCTGCTATTTAGTTACCCAGTGAGGGGTATCCAGGAGACACCGCGTGAAGGCGGCAGGCATTACCTCCCAAATTTTGCTGTTAGTTAAAGCAAATTATTTTTTAAGATTAAGTAAAAAGTTAAGAAATGTTTTGGTGCTTTTCAATATTTTAACAATATTACTTAAGTTTTTTTTTCTAAAATGTTTTTTGAAATTCTTTTAATACTTGTTTCTTTCATAATTTGTTAGATAGTCAGTATCATTTTTAAATAAATAAATCTCAAGTTAATTTAATTTTCAAAAAAAGAAATTAATAATAAATAAATAAAAAACTTAAATTAATTTTTACATCTATTAAGTATAGAATTTGACCATTAGTTAGTACAATTTTATTATTTTAAATAATTAAGTAAAAAGAGGTCTGACAATGTTTCAAAAGCACATTTTTTTTTAACAAGTAATTTAAAAAATGTTTTACTAAGGTAAACATTTCTTTGGTTTGTTTTTTGCTTTCTTTTTTTTTCCTTTTATTTTTAAAGCATGAATGTAAAATATTTTGTTACAGTTTTATTATTATTTTTAAACCAATAGATTTAAAAAAAAATTAAAATAAAGCTTGGGTTTGTTTTTACTTTTAAGACATCTTTATTATTTTAATTGAAGAAATTAAGTGATGCTATTGATGTTATCGAAGCATTTTTTAGAATAAACTTTTTCTTTTGTAATAGATTTACTTCTTTTATTTATTTTTGATAGATTTAAAGATTTATGATAGATAATTTTTGAACCTATGCTAAATCGCGATACATCGCTATAACAGGAATTTGTATCACAATATAAAATTTTTTACATCACCCAGTCCTAGTCTAGAATATTGTTGGATTCTAATTGCAGCTCGCATGCCAGGAAAATAATAATGCCCCTTAGTTCTGATTTTTCTTCTTTTTTTTGGGTGCAGTATTGCCTTGATTTACCATTTCGTATGGAATCATTCACTTTGAACGATAGATATGGCAGAGCAACAAATGTGGGTCAGTATAAAATATTGATTTGAAAAAGTATGAAAAGTAAAAAAAAAAAAGAAATGCACTTGAAAATCAGTAAATTTACAATAAAAATAATTTTTTAAATCATAAAAACAATGTAAAAATATTTACAATTCAAAAGACAGATAAATTGATGCATTTATTTATTCAAGTTATATGAAAATTTTGGTTTGAACACTTTTCCTGCACAACCCAAATAATTTTTCGACACTAGTTACTTTCTGATCTTTTTCTGTAAATTAGTGGGAATACAAGAAGTTCCTCCATTGTTTCAAAGGTTTTGAACCCTTCTGCAAATGTTGGTACTGGTTGTGGTTCTATTGCACCATACTTATTGCTATCATTTTGCCCTTCAGTTCCTGCAATTATTTTTTTCATCTGACCTCACATATAAAGTTTCAACGTTTTCAACAACTGATGCATTAATATCAAACATAATGTTAATTTTCCCAAAGCTGCAGCAAATTTCATTTTCTTTATTATTAACATCAGGATTTACTGTATTTCTTTTAAAACTGAAATAACTTAAATTGTTTTGAAAATGTTGGTAAAATTTCAAAATGATAGACTCCAGAATTTACTAATATCTAAAACTGTTTACACTGGTATTAATAACATTATGACAGCATTTTTGGTAATTATAATTGATTATAATAACTGTATTAATAACATAGCATTTTTGATGGGACCAATAAAACAAGGCGATGCACGCAGGAATGATTGATCGAGGTTTGACTGTACTTTTATTTCTAGATGACAGTGTTGCGCTTCTGTTAATTCTTCTATTTTTCATTTTATAGATGGGGAGGTATTTAAGTTAAAGAAATCGTCGTACAGCAGGCGTCTCGCGAAGCAAAGGGAAAAAGAAAGGAAAAAAAAGGAGGAAACCTCATCAACCACTTTAACAACATCAAGTTCAAATTTTCAAAGTCGAAAAGCGGAAATAAGTTATATTGAGGAGGAGGATGCAGATAGCAAATCTAAGGTATTTCTTTCAATTTTTGGATTTAATTTCTGCAATGATAATGTCGTTTTAGTTGAGAAATTTTTTTCTGTCGGGTAACTAAGTCCTCCAAGTTCCCATAACAAATCAGAACCTCTGGGGGTACTGAATTGGAGATGGATCGTTCTCTAGTTCGGGTAAAAATTACGATCTGTGGATGAAGGAATGGATGTATGAATAGGTTCGCCCATAAACGGGTGTGATGTATGGGTGTGGCAGAAGTCTAATTCTTGCCCATAGATGGCGCCACTGGAAAATTATTCTGAATCATATATTCTTAGAGAATATAGAATTTCTATGTCATATATTTTACCATTTGTTGTAGTTTTCTTCATGTAAACGCTTAATTTTTCTTAGCATTATTATTCGTTTCTTTTAACCCATTTTAGGCCAAGCATAGAAATTTTATAAAATGTGATATTATTTTTATTGAAATTACATTAATTTAGAGACAACTAAAGTTTCATGCATGAGCAAAGACTACTTTATCTAAGAAATAAAACAGTACATATATGCATAATTGACCAAATCAATACCCGAAATGTGTTTTATTTTTTATTTTATTTATAGAACTTGCAACTTTAATCCATCGTAAAAACGAGTGTAAAATCATATACTTAAAAGAAAGAGAAAAAAAATTCGATTTTCTCAATAACTGTTTTACGGTGAAAAATTTCTCAAGAAAAAGTTTTTACATATTATTTAAAGTCAAACTAGAAAAATCAGTTTAAGGATAACTTACCAATATTGTAACATAATTTTGCATATTCAATGAAGAATATGCATAATTATGTTTTAAATAATGGTCAATGAAATTTTAATAATAAATTATTTTTATTTCTCACCAAATTTTAAAAAATTTTTGCGTTATAATTTTATTTGAACAAAAAGTTTGTGAAATATATTTCTTAACTTCAAAATTAAGAAATATTAGTGCTTTTAATAATTGTGCAAATGACACTGGGTAATTCCTTTTTTGTTTTGTTTTCTGTTGCTTGAGATTTTTTAAAGTATCTTTTATTCTATCATTACTCTGCAATTAGCTTCTCTCTCTCGTCTGCAGTTTTTTCAAAATTATATTTTTTGTCTAAATGGGCAAGTTTAAAAACGTTTTATGTAGCATGAGGTCGCATAAATATTATGACAAGCTTTTAGGTTAATTACGACACATTGCCAGGATTATAATTGCATAAAAACTCATGCCCATAAATGTCATCATACACCAATATGGGCACTACCCTATTACAAAATGTTTCTTCGTATGCTTCTGAACAGGTCATGTAGGTTTCCATTATCTGTCATAAATGTCACCAGAGATTGTCACCAAGATGCTCAGCATTCATGACACAGTCACTATTGCATTAAATACAATTTGGGGTACAATATAAATGATGAGAAGTGTCTTTCAATTTATAAATGTTTTTGAATGTGCTTGAATCTAGCTTAAATAGGAATACATTTTTTTTTAGTTTTAAATTTTTAAAAAATATTTTTTATCAATTCTTTACTAATTGTGAAATAAAAGATGTAACAGGTTAAGATAAATTGTTTTTTTCCAATTGTAAACATTCCTTATATAATTAACTCTTTAATATGCATTTTCTTAATTTCTTTAGGATGGTTTTAAAATCTTGACCGGTAATGATGCAGAAGATATGGAAGTAGAATCAGAGGAGGAAAAGGAAAAAAATAATCCTTTCAAAAATGTTTTACAAAGTAAGCATTAAATAGTTTAAAATAATTATTTATTATTTTAGAGATGTATTGATTGTCTAGTTATTTTGTAATTAATTGTGATGTATTGAATCATCCTTTTTAGTCAGATAACTAATTTATGTCCCTTTTTAGATCTCAAAACAGCATATTTAGGAGGGTTTCACAGCCTTTTGCCTTTAACAGAGATAATGGCACTCCCCTTTCCCTTAGAAAAGAAAAAGTGCTTTTTTTATTTGGAAAAAGAGTGCTCTTTTTACTCCTTTTTAATTTTAAAGAAAGAGATTGCATTGTCTTCCAGTTACAAAAACTAGGAGCTTCAGATTACCATTTCAACTACAAATTATTTTTTGGCTAAATTAATATGCAATACCATTATATCTTGTATTTATTTGAGTATTTTTATTTTGAGTATATTAATATATTTAGCTGGAGCAGGGAGTGCCTTTCTAAACTGAAGCTGCCCTTGTTTTTTGGAAGCATCTTTCCCTTTTTTATTTCTTGGGGGATCTTTGCTTTTAGTTATAAATGTTTCATTATTTAAATTAGGTGGTATAATCCCAGATGCAGCTACAATTTATGCGATGAAGAAACATCGACAAATGGCTAGAGAAATGGGAGACTTCATTCCAGTGGAAGAAGCGGAGAATGAAGATGAATCTAAATCTCGTCTCATTAGGTATTTTTCGCTTCTTTCCTGAGCTACTTTGTTTTCTACTTTATTTATTTTTTTCAATTTGTACTTATCAAGTAAACATAAGATTTTTGGAAACTTCCAATCATGTGTTAAAAAATTTTGAATAATTTATTTATTCTTAAAGTTTTCCATTCATCTTTAGTACAACTGTGACTATGATGCTGTTATTTTTATAGCAAATATTTTTCCTTGCATTTAAAATAATTAAATTATTTCCCATGTTCGGAAAAGATGTAATTTCAGATACGCAAGAATCAAATAAGAAAGTTGTTTGCTAAAATACAAGCTTTTTGATTATAAAACAAATTTTTAATTAGAATTTTTTTTAGTCATAAAAATTGCAATATTGTTATAATTAAAAAAATTTTTTAAGCCTAGATATATTGAATAAACAGTTTCCTTTTGTCTTCCATTTCAAAAAGATTGTTTAAAGATAATTTTTCTTATTTATTGATATATTCGGAATATCAATCATCTTAGTATTTGTTGAGAAATAAAAAGCGTTCAGTGAAAAAAAAAAATCTCTTTAAAGCATGTTCAAGCATGAAGCATGTTTTTGGCAATTTTGGATTTTCTCTTCCTTGTGAACAGACAAACCCCATTTCATGCTTATGTTAAACAGTCTCTTCTTGATTTTAATTTTAATTTTGTCTTTAAGTATTAGGATTAAACTGAAATAAAAGTTGTATAGAACAAAATTTAAATTTTAATTCATTTTATAAAATAGAAGAATATTTTTTAGGAATTCTTTGTGTTTCATTTCACTTCTGTGCTAAAAATTCTTGAGTTGGGAAAATTTTTCCTTAGGAAAAATTTTTCAACTTTTTCTTTCTGTTAATTCAACTTTTAGTCTAAATTTCTAATTTCTCTTCTTTGCATTTTTTTTAAAAGAAAATTTTGAAAATGTTAAGATTTTGTTCTTATGTAAGCTTTTCTTATAACCCTTCTTCTGCAAAAATAAACTTACCCCCCCTCTCCCCCTGTTGTGAGAGTTTAAAATATTTTAACTGCCCTTAAGTTGTGTTAAAAAAAAAGACATATTTCAGCACGCTAGTTCAAATCAAAAGACGTCTAGACATGTGTTTCATGCGTCAGATTTGAGTTTTACTCCTCAAAAATTTTACTAGGAGGTTCCAATATTAAACTTGCCAATTTTATTTTCTCTACCTAAACATTTTTTAGATGTTTAAACTAATTTAGGCACAATTTTCAGTTACAAGAAGCCTTCCGTCATTAGCCTTTATTGTTGTGTTTCCAACATTAGATAAAACTATTGAATGCATCAATATCTTTTTTAATGTATCATCAATAAGTATAATGATTGGTTATCATTACACTTTTGTTAAAAAATATTTCTACAATATTAAAATCACTTGAGTAAACTGCTCAATAATTTTAACCAAAGCACTTTTAGTCTTAAAATAGTTGAATAGTTAATATAAAATAGTTTAGTCTCTAATAAATTTAAAACTGTAAAATAGTTTTGTTTGATCTAAGTGTATAATCCTAAACACTTCATTTATCTTTATAGTTCTATTTGAAAAAAGGGGCTCTTATATGAAATGATTTAAATCCTATTTTTTCTATATCATTTTTTCATTTAAATACATATTTTTTTGTGATGCATAGTTTTATTTAAAATACTAGCAAAGAGGGTGCATAGTTTGGGAAATTCTCTTTGGGGTTAAAATTTATTTATTAATAGTACACCTTAAGAGAGCTGATCTGCTGAAAAGATTTCTTAATCTTTTAAAAGTTAGGAAGCTTAGTAGCCATATTTTATTATACTATTTTAAGTTGACCATGGAAATTGACAATTAACTGTTGCTTTTATTTTAATATATTGTCTTCACAGGAACTTATTTTTGTTCAGTTAACTCTGCAAAATTTCACAAATGTTTTAGTTGATTTTTTCCCCTCTGTCTGTAATAATAAGCATCACCGTGTGTGAGACCATCTAACTTATTTTAATTAACTTAGCTTATTTTAACTAATATCATTTTATAGGACGATTGAACTATCGCTAAAATTTAAATGTCAGGTAATATCTGGAAACTGAAAAAAAATCAATAAATAAAATTTTAAAAAAATTATTTTTAAAGTTATTCTATTTGTAAAGAGAAAAATATTTATTAAAAATAAAAAAAATAAAAAAATAAATATGGTAATTTTATGGTCAAGTAATGTTTTATAATTAAAAAAAAATCTGCTAATTAAATAAAATAATGTTTAAATGGATACCATTTGTAAGAAAAAAGCATTTATTTGATTGGATTAATGAGATTATTGAAAATCATCATTAGAATTCCAATTATCTTGTAGTTGGGCAAGTTTCTTACCACTAAGCTGTTGCATCACTATCAAAATGAAGATTTTTTTAGGATATACATGCTTCAATTTTAAAATGGATATTTCTTGAAATTGGCTGACTAGTCCACAAGGGGTGAACACCCTCAAAATATGCCAAGTTTAATCTCAAACTGAATTTCCCTAGTCCATAAGTATTTCTGAGAAGTTGATGAGCAAGTGTTCAATGTTCTAAAATATTGAAAATATTCTCACATTTTGTATTTGTTTCCAGAGATGACGATAATGACAGAAGTGACGACGATGACGAACCATCTCGCTTGAGTTTTACTGTTAATACTGATGCTGCTGATAGACAAAAAATGCGTGAAACATTTCTTTCTCTTCAAAAAGGTGATTATATAGTCTTTAATTTAATATAACTTCATTTTTTCGAAATATTATACCCGCTTATAAGTTGTTAATTTCAGAATTATTTTAAGAGTTTTCACAATACAGCAGAATCTCAATGGATCGTTTTTAATGGTTCTTTCATTGTGAGCGATAGGAGGAATGTGGGTCAACATTAAAATATCAAATAGTGAATTAAAACTGCATGACAAATAGTAAAGCAAAATATTGCAAAAATATTGACTATGTAAAAGAAAGGTAAATGAACAGATTTATTTAATTAAAGTATTTAGAAATTTCAGCCTAGATAGCCTGGTTGGCATGGCGCTGGACTAACGTTTGTGAGAATGGGAGTTCGCATCCAGCCAGCCGAAGACTCCCTGTGTAGTAATTGGTTACTGGTGCACTTTAAACCTGTCGGGTCACAAAGTCCTCCATGTTCCCAAGAAATCTACTTGCCTGGGGGTACTGAATTGGAGATTGATTGGTCTCTGGTTCAGATTAAAATTATGATCTGTGGAGGAATAAATGGAAGTATGAATGAGTCCGCCCTATAAACGGGTGTGGCAGAAGTCAAATTCTTGGCCGTGGATGGGGCCACTGGAAAACAAGAACAATCGTATCCCTGTGACTTAATGGCCGACGACAACAACAGCATAATTTAGAAATTTCAGTTTGAACACACTTTTTTTTCTTAGCCCAAACAATAAATTTTCGACATTTGTAACAGATTATTGTTCATTTTCTGTAAATTCGGTGAATGAAGATAGTTCCTCATTTTTTTGAAGGCTTCAAATTCTTCTGCAAATGTTGGCACTGGTTGTACGTCTGTTTTGTCCTCTTCATTAGTATTGTAAGATTTTGATTATAGATGGCACTGTTGAAGTTGTACTCTTACACTGTTCAAACATCACGATAACTTCATTTATATCAATTTGTGCAAAAATGCTATTTGAGGCATGAAAAAGTCTTTTCTTCATCAGTTACTGTTTTTCTCCCAAAATGAAATAATTTCAGTACTTTTAAAAGTTGATAAAATTTTTGAATGTTATAATTTATGAATGATAGATGTAAGACTCTTTGAGTTTAAAAAACAGTCTATGCATTGTATTATTAACTTAATAAGAAAGACATGTGTGAAGGAATCATTCATACATATGACATTCAGGAAAGCAAATGAAGCAGGAATGATGAATCACGGTTTAACTGTATTTTGATGACTTTATTTAAAAAATGATTGGAAGCATTATTGGTTTCCACTGTACATTCATATTAATAAAAAATAATTGCTACTGAGCAATAAAAGCACATTGTTCCATGCAAAAAAACGAGTGATAACTCTGAAGGCTTTAGCTAAAGTAAGATTATTACCCTTCTTTAAATTAGCTATAGATGGCATTAAAGTACGTAAAAACATTAGTCAACGATATTAACAGACAGTGTTTGTAGAAGAGTAAATTGTAGAATAATATTGGTTTAGTATACATGCATGTTATATTTAACGAATTGAAAGGATAGCTAATAGCTTGGGTTCGAATGTTGCTGTGGCTAAAGCTTTTGAAGTTTTCACTGTAGGTGTTTGTTTCTAAGTATAAAACAATGCATTATTGTTTAGTAGCTGTTTCTTTTTAAGCTTTAAAATTTAATAATTTACTAAGTTATTAAATATCAGTTCAATTGTTTTTAATTTTTGTTATAAAGTGATTTATAACTTTTTTACTGTTGACCACTCCTAAATATCGTCCTTTTTGCAGGGCAATCTACTGAATTGGAAAAAGAAGATGCTGCTGAACTGGATCGCTGGGAGAGAGAGCAAATAAAAAAAGGCGTTGGTGTTGTACAGGTTTGTTTAAACTCTATTGTTAAATTTTTCTCTCTGTATTTTTTTTAATGACTTTTAATGTAGTTGGAACAGTGACTTTATGTTATGACATTAAGGTATATATTTATGTTAAATTTTTTCTGTGTACTTTGTACTTTAATCGTGATGTTAATAATTCTTATTAGATACTATCTGTAATGTTTGTTTATGATATGATTAAAATAAAAAATACTGCTTACACAGTTTTTGAAATAAGATTTTGGTCTTTAACTTCCTACTGTTATATTTTTTGGTGTTCCTCTTCTTGGCTTATAACTTTCAATTTATGGTAAAACCTCAACCTTTTAAACTAATTAAGCAGCGAAATAACCTGTATAGGCTTGATTATGATTTGATTTTAAACAGTAATGGAGAGTTTCTTATTGAAGTTCACTTATTTTATATTAATCATTTCTATCAGCTAATGTTCAAAAATTACTGAATGGTGTTCATTCAATATTTATTTATTTATAAATATATAAGTTTTTAAACATTTTGCTCAATATTAGATTTTTAGTGAAGCTTTTCAATGCTTCATAATTTCCATCCCACAGTGGACTGGTCGTAAGACGTCCCAGTGGATTACCGAAATCAAATTGGTGGCGGTCAGTGAGCGGGTGGGTGATCACTTTGATCAGCCTGGAAATGGTTGTGTGCTATTGGTTCTCTCAAAATTGTTCTACCTTAAAGTGCTCGACATTGCGCTCATGTCATCTTTACCCTCTGCAGAAAATCAAAATTGTGATAGCGTGTCTTTGGGCCATCCTCAAATATGTTTTCCAGACCATTGCTAATAGCCCGTTTGCCGAACTTGTCCCGTGCAACCTAAATAAAGTGTATCTACTACATATAATTGGCTTTTGGTGCAAAATTGAGAAATAGAGAGAGTAATACTTTTAAGAATTTTAACTTTAGTTTAATTTTTAAAAAATTTTTTCATGACATTTGTTTTATTTTTATAAGTAATTGATAAATTTTTGTCTTTACTTCAAATGATGTTATTATTTCATTGGATGAAATGTGTTTATGTTGGTGTAAAGAAACTAGATTATTTTTTTATTTCTTAATTATTTTAGGTGTTTTTTTCACACATTTTCTTTGAAATATCGAATAGATAGTTCAAATTTAACTTTATGATTAGAGTTTTCTGTTTACATGCAAATAATTTTTACATAAAGTGTTTCCAAGGAAATATTAATCTTATAGCTTTTTTATTCATTGCATAATTTGAATTTAAAGAAATTCATAATTAGGATACCTCTAAATATATGAATCCATACTAAAATGGAGATTTTTAGGTCACTGTTGGACGAAGATTACGAGTAAGTTTGTTTTTACTATGATTTCTGTGTATAGCAGTAGAACATAAAATAACTAATAAATACCGTATTTCTGCTTTTAACGTCTTTGTAGCTTGGCCCCTTTCCATATCCTATATTGATATTGTAAAGAAAAGGAGAAAAGAAAAGGAAAATCTACATATTTAGAACATCTTCTAATACAATTTCCCTGAAATACTGACTCTCCAAGTCATCTTTTACCCAATTGTTAGATGATAATTTTCACCAAATGACTAGTAGCTGCATACATGAAAGACTGTTAATGGTTAATTAACAGTCTTTTTGTGAGTGTGGTGGTTTGTGTGTGTTAATGGTTTCAGTAAAGGTAGTTTTATACCAGTTCCTACCTAGGAAAACACTGATAGCCTTTTAGAACAGAATTCTGAGTTTGATACGGACTATTCACAATGTGATAACGATCTGATGATATGTGAATCTCATCCACTGAAATTGTAGAATCTAGTAGTGATGAAGAAGACTCTTCGGATCATTCAATGAAGCAGTAGTTAGGCTGCAGAGATTGAAAATTTTACTCAAAAGACATGGAGAATAAGAGAGAGAAATAAATGCCTTAAAATTTTCGAAAAATTCATTGTGTACTTAACATTAAACATGCAAAAATGTTAGCTTTTTTTTATTTCTTTATCTTTCTTTTTTAAATAACTTTTAAGTTTTAAGTTGTATTTAAGAATTTTTCAAAATATAATTAAATATGTACAAATACACAACTTTTTATTTTCATGGAAATTTTTATGTCCCAAATATAGTGACGTCCCATTTTTTTAAAGAAATTTTTCTCTAGTCTGACGAACATTGTTAAATCGAGGTTCTTCTGTAATACCCTTTGCACTGATAAGTTTATTGCATTAATTTGCAATGTTAAACTGATGTATAACTTGCTTGACCTTTACTCACTCTTAAGTCTCTAAATGAGTTAAGTCTGGACAAAACTGCAAATGTCAAACTGCCAATATTGAAGTATAATATAAAATTTTCACTGATAAAACTGTAGAGATTAAACTCTCAATTTACAAAAACTTGGATATCAAAATCTCATTTGCCAAGGCTGGGAAGAGTGAAATCTCGACTGCCAAAATCATTGAAGTTATTGAACACTCATAATTACACCTAGTTCCTGACTCAAGGATTTTTTAAACAAAAATGCTGCATTCTGTCATTGAAACTCTTTCATAAACATCACAGTAAGAACTATTGTACAAGTCTATGCCTGTTTTGATTTGCTGTTTTGTCTGGTGTGTTGAACTGGTCAGGACACTGAATCTAATGTTTTGAGCTCTCAAAAATAGGCACCCATTCTCAAGACTTATCAGTACGGAATGAGGAAAATAAATCATTACACAGTTGCTAACAAAAAATGCAAAATTAATAAGGGTAAAAAACAAAATTGAAAAAACGCGATAGCTAAGAGAATCAAATCAAAGCAGGTGCATTTCCAAGCACTATGGAGAACTGGTGAGAAACTCATGTTGTAATTAAGATTCTAGAGTATCAAAATGAGCTGATATGACAGGGGTAGAAAGAATTTTGGTATTATTAAAACTAAGGTTTCTAAAAAGGTTCTAGAAATGTGCGGCAACATATAATTTATCAAATTCTTGATAATGTTCATATCTATCGTGCTCCTTTATTCTAAATTTTCAATGGCGCCTGGTTTGTGCGATATAGCTTAAGTTGCTTTTGAGTGCTCAAATGACAAATTTTCTCACCTTTATAATATTTGAAGTAAATGAAGTTTTTACATCATCAAAAGAATTTCTTTCTGTTTGAGTTTTCTGGAATTATTCATTCAAGTTATTACTCAAGATATTATTGTTATTACTATTTGAGTTTAAATCCTAATAAAAGTACTACAGATAAATAATATGAGAATTACATTTTAAATCTTTTATAAAAGTTTTTATTTAACTGTTTATTGTTGACAAAAATATCTAGTAAATGCTTGTGTATAATTAGTTGAATTTAAAATACATGTTATGTTTAATTTTTGTTTTGTTATGAGCTTCTAATTAACTACTTAACTATTTTTACTCTTTGCTTTATTTCCAGACTTTGTTTGCAATTAATTTTTTGGGTAAAATATAATTTGCTAGTTTGTAAAACAATTTTGAAAGAATGCTTGTATCAAAAATGTGATTCTTCCATTTTTCCCGCTAATTTCCGCAAAAAATTTTTTTGAGCAAGTTAAAGTATTTTATGAGGAATTTAATTTTCTGCAGAGCGAAAGTATTGAAGTCCTCATTCCTCTATCTGAAGTATCTCTAAAAATCATTTCCTTGGGATAGAACTGGTTGACCTATATACAGGGATGAGATTTTTTCGCTTTTGCCTCTCGAATTTCAGCCTTTTTATCAAAAACTCTGATTCTCTAAAAGTTTCGTTTTTTTAATAAATATCCCGCTTTTTTTGTTGAAAATTCAGTTGTTGAAATAAAATAAGTATATTTATTTACGACTTTTCAAAGATAAACATAAAATTCGAACTACCTTCTAGCTGCTAACCCTTCCATATTTTTACTTATTTTAGCTATTTTCTCCGCTTTTACGCACAGAAAATAAGATTTTCCGTATTTTCATTCGTCCGCCGGATAGCTCGTATTTTCGCAATTCAGACGTCGTGACCCTGTTGTCTGGCGTGAAAGCAAACGAGAAAAAAATATAATACAGGTGGATTTGCAGTGNATTTTTACTTATTTTAGCTATTTTCTCCGCTTTTACGCACAGAAAATAAGATTTTCCGTATTTTTATTCGTCCGCCGGATAGCTCGTATTTTCGCAATTCAGACGTCATGACCCTGTTGTCTGGTGTGAAAGCAAAAGAAAAATAAATATAATAGATGTGGATTTGCAGTGAAAATATTTATTTACTCATTCAATTAATCTTGTAAATTTTTATTTATTATGTCTTAACAAAAACAATACAAACAAGCCTTTTAGAAATCCCAAGTCCAGACTCTGCAAATGTCTAGAGTCTTATTCACGCGATTTTAATATCAATAATCGATTTTCATATTTACCTGATTTAAAAGTTTCGCATTGCGATTCTTATTTACGCTATTTAAACATCGTACATTATGATTCTTATTTACAAGATTTGAAAATCCAATATCGCATTTTGTATTTATGCATTTTTAAAATCACAATTTTATTGTCGAATATCGATTTTCGTATTTACCTGATTTAAAAGTTGAACATTGTCATTCTTATTCAGGCGATTTAAATATCGTAAATTGCGATTCTTATTTATGAGATTTAAAAATCTAATATCGCGATTTGTATTTACGCACTTTTTAAACCGTATGTAGCGATTCCTAATCAAATGAGCTTAAAATCCAATGTCATGATTCGTTTTTGCTGTTGTAATATCAAACATCGATTTTTGTATTTATACGTCACGTGCTTTATAAATTAGACATTGTGATTTGTATTCGCGCGATTTAAAAATCATGCGTCATGATTTGTATTTTCGCATTTTTTAAAATTCGGAAAATTCGAAATTAATTAATTTAATTTTAAAATTTGAAAGTTGAACATTGTCATTCTTATTCAGGCGATTTAGATATCGTACATTGCGATTCTTATTTATGAGATTTAAAAATCTAATATCGCGATTTGTATTTACGCACTTTTTAAACCATATGTAGCGATTCCTAATCAAATGAGCTTAAAATCCAATGTCGTGATTCGTGTTTGCTGTTGTAATATCAAACATCGATTTTCGTATTTATACGTGCCTTATAAATTAGACATTGTGATTTGTATTCGCGCGATTTAAAAATCACGCGTCATGATTTGTATTTTCGCATTTTTTAAAATTCGATATATAGTTTCATATTCACGTGATTTAAAAGCCTCATATCGGGATTCATATTCTCTCAATTTAAAATCATGCATGTGATAACGTGCGTGACAAGATAAATAAATACAAAAAAGCACGAAGAAAATGAAGAAAAACAATAAGTTTCATTTATTGCGCATCAGCTGCAAATAAGCAGAACTCATTAGATAAGTTCAAGATGAAGATCAAAGGAAAATTACAGACATATGAAAAAAGGGGGGGGGGAGAAAAATAATAATAAAAAAAATAACAAACTGGGAAAAAAAAAGATAAATTTTTTATAAAAAAATCCGTAAAATTTATTTTCTGTTTTTACGTGTTATTTTTACTTATTGTGTTCCATTTTATTTATTGTAATTTTGTAAAAAAATTTTTTCAGTGCTCCTCCCACTATTGTATTAATATATTTTGCTTTGGCGATATTGATAATCAGAAAGCACTCTTTTTTGTGGATATAACCGTGTGGACTAATGAAAAGTGATACTTGTGGACTATCTTTTAATTTCTGGATTTTTTTAAAAAAAATTTTATCTTTTTTTTTTCCAGTTTGTTATTTTTTTTATTATTATTTTTCTCTTCCCCCCTTTTTTCATATGTATATAGTTTTCCTTTGTTTTATCTTCATTTTGAACTTAGATACATATATATATTGTATATTCATTCTTGGATTTGCTCTGTTTTACTTTGTGACTACTCTCATACCTGTTGTATTATTACTACAATTGGTATTATAACTTTAAAATTCATATTATTGAGGCAAAGAATGTGCAATCATTTCATAAATGCTTACTTTGCTAAAATCCTCTATCTTTAGCATGTGCCAACTGTGTCTGTAGTGTATTAAATTTTTAAAAAAAGTTCCATAATATTTTATGATAATGTTTTTAATGCCTTTTGGTGGGGTAGTCTTATCATGCGAATTAATATATGTCAAATTATAATTAAATTTTAATTTTTTTCTTTGAACTATTTCCTTTGTTATTGATTATTGATTTTTTTAAAATAAAAATTTATTTTAAGATGCATATATTACTACTAAAAATCTTTACATTCATTATTTTTTAGAATTTAATTGCAAAGGTATGTATCATAAAAATCTACATATCTAACTTAATTCGCAATTCTTTGATATTTTTTATTGATTTAATTAAAAAATACTCAATTGTGGTAAAAGAAGTTTTATATTCTATAAACTATATTAAATTTATCAAATATATCTGAGCTTTTGAAGCAAGATCAGGGTTCCCACGGTCCTTGAGAGTCCTTGAAAGTCCTTGAAATTTTTTTTGCTAAATTTAGGTCCTTGAATTTGTCCAAAACTGCCGACGGCCCTTTTTGTAAAACACCCGCGGATCTTTCTTGTTCTTTCTGTTTTGTTCCCGAGCTCTCTCACGTGGTTTTTAACGCCACCGTTTCTAACCGGGCCTAGTGTCTTGGTGTCTGTCAAGCGCCTGGAGCACAGCAGACAATCAATGCGTTCGGGGCGAGACTCCACTTCATCTTCTGTCGCATATATTATATCAG